CATTCCAGGAAGGTGCTGAACTTCTCGAAGTATGAGCACGATATTGAGCAATAGTTCTGCATCTCCTGTATTACCGTAACGGCTTAGCCATGGTAACATTGCGTCTATTCTCAATGGTGTTTTGCCTCAATGGTGTTTTGCCCCGAGGCAGCAGGCCTTTCCCTTTTCGGAAACATCGGTGTAGGCCATGCGCCCCCCCCCGCACCCGGAACACTCGTGCTTGTATTTGCAGGCTGAGCCCCACTTGCATTGCCCCTTGTTGAACAGCCAGCAAAACCCTTTTCATCCGTAGAGGGAGATCCATCTGGTCCCACCTCTAACCCGGATTAGCTGCCAGCCGTTGGAAGAACTGTTCATCGTACTTCCACCACGCCATCCCTCCGTACGTACGGTAGGCCTCCCAGATCCCATCAAGGTAACAAAATAAGGAGGAGCAGGTCCCCGGCGATTTCTCGCCAATCACACTGGCTAGGATACAGAATGCCCGCAGCCAATTCCCGAATGACTTGGGTATCTTGCGATACCTCTTACGCTTCTCCTCCTCCTCCTTTTTTGCATCCTTCTTCTCCTCCTCCTTGAGGTCAATGTAGTCCTCCAGGGGCGAAAACCTCTACAAACTCACCCTTCCAAATCCTGTCCTTCATGTCCTTCTTGAGGTGTACCCCCAGTGGGCCCGCGTTCTGTCGCGCCACGTCTGGCACGCTCCCTGCCAATTCCGCCCTCTCGTTTGCCGGGTCCACCACCGCCGATCCTCCCACCGTGACACCATGTGAGGTGTGCACAACCCTGTCAGCCCCCCCTGCCGCTGGAGCCCATACCCACCCCACATCTGACGGCTGTGTACCCCTTTTATCCCACATGTCAATTAGCTTTTGGATAGAGTGTAATAATGCAAGTGAAGAGGAAGAAGAGTTCAACTCACCGCCCCAGCCCCTTGTAGGCAATGGCCTAGGGGCTGCTCCTTGGGGTCCCACTGGGTCACACTGCACTGACACTTCCCCTCTCCCACCAACTGGGGGGTCAACCCGATGCCTGGAATAGCCGGAACATGATCCACTGTCAGACCTGGAACAAGAAGAAGAAAGCCTGGGCTGGTTGTACTCTTCCATGTTAGCCTTCCCTGGGTATCCCCGGGCGTTCCGTGGCCTCCTCCTGGTGTCTCGCCTCCGATCCTGGCCCTGCCGGCCATCAGGAGCCCCGGAGGCCCCGCTGGCCTTACCCCTGGGACTCCTGCTCCGCTCCCGTCTGCGCATGGGTCCGCGCCTCAGGGCCACAGAGCGCTCCTCCGAGGAACTGCAATACCAACACCTCTAGGGGGACATGACTCGATGCGACCTGCCCAGCGCCGGCATCCGGGCCTGACCCTCGCGCAAGTCCACTGGGTACTGACGGCCCTCCTCCCTGTGGCTCCTGACCGAAGCGCGACCCTTCTGTCCCGCCTGCTTGCGACTCTTCCTACTGGCGGGCCCTGCACCCTCCAAAGTGCAGTCCACGAGACCCACCTGGCTGCGCTGCGCCCTTCCTGATCTTGCCATGTCCCCCAGAGCCCTGGGGGTACTTCCCTGGTCCCCGCGTGCTAACCTCGACCCCCCGTGGGAAGGCCCGGCTGCACCCACAAGGCCCTGTGGCCCTAACAGGCCCTTCGCTGGCAATGGGGTATGCATATAGCCGCCCCCAGCGGCACCCTGCGCTCCTACTGGGTCCCCTGCATTGCTGACTGCACTGGCCCCAGGCCAGTGAGGGGGAAAGCCCTGGCAGGCCTGCTATGCCCCCCAGCAGCACCCCCTTCATCCCTGGGGGCCTGCTGCCCCTGCGCAAGAACCACCACTTGCCTGCATAAGGTTGAGCCCTCCCAGGGCCTGTTCCCGATCATGGCCTTCAGGGGGCACCTGGGCACCAAAGTCCCCCACTTCCATCACTCCTCCTAGGACAACCCCGCCGACTGCAGGGGCCTGCGATCCGAGCGCAGCTCCCCCAGTTTCCAGGGCCACGCTTTCTGGCAGTGATGAGCCTGCCACTGCACCAGAGCTCCACCCCCGCCGACGAGCACGAGCAGATGCCGGTAAATCCAGCACACCAGACCCGATCCCGGCACTCCCCGCATCCACAGGACCCGGGCTCAAATGTTGTGGTGGTCTCCTCCGCCCTACCGGACGGCGGCCCCCGCGGCCATCTTGACCCGCCGCCTCCAGCACTGCACCGAGTTGCTCATGCAGCCAGTCAGTCCCTCTGTCCCTGGCAGCATTCTGGATCCTTGCCATAAGCTCCTCCAGTGTCTGCTCAGCCATCTGCAAAAGAAAAAACAAACTTACCAGACCCAGATACAAAAGCACCAATTCAGCCTGGTAAGTCAATTAGTAATGAGGTGTTATAAAATGAACGAAATTTATATCAGCCTACCCAGAATCCTGATCTGTCAATCACCAACCCCTGCTACACCTAAGCCCGCCTCCAAGCCCTGTCAAGGCCCCCTCTGCTAAACTGCGCTTTCTTCTTGGGGCTACAAGATGGACTCTCAAACCAGAAGACATACGTGTTAGCAGTAAAAAAATGGTTTGACTCACACACTACACTAAGCACATCCACAGCAATTACTGCATATAAATTAAAACTATATTCCAGCAATGAAAGTTTTATTTATCATGAGAACTATGCAAAGGTAATGATGTCAGGAAAGTAGGATTTCACTAGATTTCAATGTGTAATGGGCAAAAATAAAAATAAAAAAATACATTAAACTTGAGTTTTAATGGAACAGTATAGGCACTTAATAATGAAGTAGCAAAGACAGAGCTATATTCCACTTTCATACCATTAAGCAGTGGGCAGTGATGTGTGTGTATATATATATCAGCCACAACAATAAAACCTCTGACAGGTGAATTGATTGATTATATCGTTACAATGGCACCTGTCAAAGGGTGGAATATTTTAGGTAGCAAGTGAACAGTCATGTTTCATGAGATAAAGCGGGGCAAGCAAAAAGAGTGACTTTGAGAAGGGCCAAGTAGTGATGGCTAGATGATTGGGTCAGACTATTTAAAAATGGCAAGTCTTGTGGGGTGTTCCTGGTATGCAGTGGTTAGTACCTACCAAAAGTGGTGAAAGGTAGGACAACCAGTGAACTGGTGTCAGGGTCACGGATGCATGTGGAGAGCGAAAGCTATCCCATCTGGTACAATCACACAGGAGAGCAACTGTAACTCAAATTACTTAAAAACTTAAAGGACCACTATAGTGCCAGGAAAACATACTCGTTTGTCTGGCACTATAGTGCCCTGAGGGTGCCCCCACCCTTAGGGTCCCCCTCCCGCCCAGCTCTGGATGGGGGAAAGGGGTTTAAACTTACCTTTTTCCAGCGCTGGGCGGAGAGCTCTCCTCCTTCTCTCCTCCTCCGTTCCGCCCCGTCGGCTGAATGCGCACGCGCGGCAAGAGCTGAGCGCATTCAGCCAGTCGCATAGGAAAGCATTTACAATGCTTTCCTATGGCTAGCGTGCTCTCACTGTGAAAATCACAGTGAGAAGCACGCAAGTGCCTCTAGTGGCTGTCAATGAGACAGCCACTAGAGGAAATAGGGGAAGGCTTAACCCATTAATAAACATAGCAGTTTCTCTGAAACTGCTATGTTTATTAAAAAATGGGTTAAGCCTAGCTGGACCTGGCACCCAGACCACTTCATTAAGTTGAAGTGGTCTGGGTGCCTAGAGTGGTCCTTTAAAGAGTAACTATAGGCACCAAAACAACTTTACCTTAACGAAGCAGTGCTTGTGTATTGATCATGCACCTGAAGTCTCAATGCTCCATTCTCTGCCATTTAGGAGTTGAATCATTTTTTTTTCTATTAATGCAGCCCTAACCACACCTTCCTTGGCTGTGACTGACACAACCTGAATGAAAAAAATGTTTCATTTTCAATCAGATGTAACTTATTTTAAAAGTTATTAACTCCTGCTCTGTAAATTGAATGTTAATTACATACAGAATGCTCCTGCAGGGTCTTACAAGCTATTAACAGTGCAGGAGACATACAATTCTAAAGTTAACAGAATTTGTAATAAAAAAAAAAGTATAAACACCAGATGACTCTTTACAGGAAGTGTTTAGGAAGGATGTGTAAGTCACATGCAAGGAGGTGTGACTAGGGCTGCATAAACAAAGTGATTTAACTCCTAGATGGCAGAAGATTGAGCAGTGAGACTGCAGGGCCATGATCTAAACACCAAAGCTGCTTTATAAAGCTAAAATTGTTTTAGGGACTATTGTTTCCTTTTAATGCTGGTCATGCTAGAAAGTTGTCAGAACACACAGTGCATCACAGTAGCTGAATATGTAGCTGTCAAAGTTATGATGATAACCTCTGTTCAGTGCTGAAAGCATTTTCAAAGGGAACGTGAGAGTTATAACTGGACCATGGAGCAATGGAAGAAGGTTTTCTTGTCTGATGAATCATGTTTTCTTTTAGATCAGTTTAATGGCCAAGGGAAGAGATGGCAGCAGGATATACTATGGGAAGAAGGCAGGCTGGTGGAGGCAGTGTTCTGCTTGGAAACCGTGGGTCGTGGCCCTCATGTAGCTGTTTCTTTGACATGTACCATCTACCTAAAGATTGTTGTAGACCACGTATACCTTTTCATTGCAATGGTGTTCCCTGACCGCAGTGGCCTTTTTTTTGTAGTATAATGCACACTGCCACACTGCAAACATTGTTCAGGAATGGTTTGAGAAACATGACAAATGTGTTTCTTTGACCTCCAAATTCCACAGATCTCAGTCCCACTGAGCATCTGTGGGATGGGCTGGTACAACAAATCTGATTTATGGAGGCCCCACCTCGCAACTTTCCGGAATAAAAGGATCTTCTGCTAATGTCTTAATGCAAAATACCACAGGACAGGTTCTTAGGTCTTCTGGAGTCCATGCCTCGATGCATCAGAGCTACTTTGCAGCATAAGGGGGACCTAAACAATATCGGGCAGGTGGTATTAATGTTGTGGCTGATCAGTGTGTGTGTGTGTGTATGTGTATATATATATATATATATATATACACACACACACACACACACACACACATATTATATATAAACAATACACATATATATATAAATATATCATGTATAATATTCCTATGTTTCTGCCAGATCTCATATTAAGCAGCATATAGGATAACATTGCTTGTAAGGCACTGTCCAAAAGACTTACTTCTAATTTGAGAAAATAAAACTCACAGTGACAAGTGTCTGCTTTAAAAAGTCAATTTCAGCTATTTTTTTTATTTATATATACACACAGTAGAGCAAGCACTCACAAATATTCATGTCATCACTACATGAATTACTACATTCATGTCATCACTACCTATATAAATAAGAATCACCTAGATAAACATCAGAGCAAATTTTCTCTTAAACAGCAATGTGATAAAAATCTCTTTTGAAAACAGGGTAGATGGGATAGAATACCCTATTAAACAGACATCCCTGTCCATCTCTTTCAATCCCTCTTAGTGTTTGAGAGATAAATGTGCTCACAGCCAAATTAAAATGGCATAGAAGGTGTTGATGTGTGGTGATTTATACGAAGGAGCTTTTCAAGTGACCAATTGGAAAATAACGCACGATCAATGCCATTGGATTTGTCAGTTCATTTGGTTACAGAGAAACGGTTGTTCTCTTGATGGGATGTGACAGGTCATGTCTCTCATTGAAAGAGAAGATTCAGACGCCGAGGCGTCAGTAGGGCCATGATTGAATGTGGCGTCAGATACAGGGATTCTCTGAAAAATAAAAAGGATTATCAGTGACTCAGAAATCGTATGCAGACAGTAAGGAAAGTAGAAAATGTGATTCTTTTTTAACTCAGTAATACTCGAACACTGTTACAGTGTATTTAACGGAATGTGTGCTTCATGGTATATTGGCTGATAGTGTGTCTACTCCAGTTACCTCTTTAGGATATATCATGGTATTTAATAACCAGTTTGCTATTTTAATCTGCAGGGCCCCAATACAAAAAGTCCTGATAAAAAAGATGCTTTTATTTTAAAATGGCATTTGTATTATTTTTGTAATTTGCCCTCAATTACTATATAAGCTCAAGTATTTGCCACAGTGCTGGAGTGGTTAAAATTAGAAGATACAATAGGAATAGTTATCCACATAGCTATAAGGAGAGATCTATTCACGTAATAGTATGGTATGATGAGCTAACACCCAACTTAGAACTTTAGATGAAAAGAACATTGCTTTAATACAGTGGAACCATTGATTTGACTGTTAAAATGGGTTTGAAAATCCCACTAAATCATAACCTAGAATTTATCACTTACTCTCACTTTCTGTTTAGTGAATAATTCTTGTTACAGGGCAGATGGAGCCTAGAATCCATGATGCAGACAATATCCGGAACCTACACAGAAGAGAATATAACCTTCCCACATACATCATTAAATGTCCTCACTACTGCTCTACTTCCCAAGCTAAAAAGCAATTCCATGCATCTTGTCACCCTTCTGCAAAAAAAATAAAAAATAAAAATAGAAAGGGCCTTATAACACATTTTTTTTTCACAATACTCCAGTGTGCCTGGCATTGTCACTAGCAATTGTGCACATATATATACTTTTGATCATGGGCGACCAACCTTTTAGCTTTCCCAGGCCACATTGTGCACAGAGGAATTGTCTTGATCAACACATAAAATATATATTATAGTTATTAATAAAATTATGTATATAATAAAATGTCAAAACCCCTTTTCTTAATTTTTTTATATTTATTTTAGTAGATAACTGCCTTGTTTGTTATCCTTATGTGGGATTGCCATATTTATAGATACCAAATTAGAGAGCTATCTACTAAACACATACACATGTATAAACACATAACCACAGATATACACATTAACACACATATAATCACAGACCTATACACATATACACATACATACACACAATCACAGACATACACACAGATATACATAATCACAAACATACACAAACACATACACAAAATGACAGACATAAACACACACAGATATAAACACACACATAATCACAAATATACACACACAGCCATACACAAACACAATCACAGACCCACACACATGCAATAACAGACACACAATCACTTACACACATAATTACTGGCATACACACACAACTCAGCTGTAGCTCACTGAAGGACACGCAAGGGAGTCCAGATGGCAACTGGGGAGCATTACAGGTTGTTCAGAGCTGCATGCGCCCCGGGCCCTGGGTTGGACATGCCTGCTTTAGATAATGGACATGGCCAAAGTAAATACCTTCCATAAAGTGTTCACTAAGATATTATTAATGGCAAATTTTAACTCTTTCCTTTAATATCGCAAATGGTGTATCTTGACAGTGGATATCCTTCCCCATTTAGAGTTAATAACACAAGTGTCTGTAGTGCAATTTAAGTGTTTTGGCTTATGGTGTAAATATCACAGACCTTAAGAAATGGGAGTTAATTTAAATTTTAATGTAGCAGCAGAGCATTGAGGGTGATTTACTATGCTCAGGACAGAGGTACTTTCATTATATTTATTTATAAAATATTTTACCAATAAGGATACATTGAGATTTCTCTCATTTTCAAGTATGTCCTGGGTCCACAAAACATAGCATCATTACAATAGGGTACAAAAAAAAATAAAAATAATAATAACTATAGATATATATATATATATATATATATATATATATTTTTTTTTTTTTTTTTAAGTAGTAGAGATAACACTTTACAGAGTAAGGTGTGTGGAGTCCAAGAGCTAGCTGGTATAGAGGATTCAAGTTAATTGATAGATTATCAGGTGTAGAAGCTTATAGATGTATGTAGAAAAAAAGGAGAATAAAAATATGGAGAATAAAAGTATATGAAAGTATATATAAAATATATGTAAAACAAATCTATATGTGGGTACTGTATCTTTAAAAATCTTTTATCTGTTATTTTTTAGCTATTTGTGTTTAATAAACTGTTTTTTATTTATCCAGTTCTATATCATCATTTCAAGTGGTTTTTGAGCGGTACACTGTATGTACTGCATTGCTGAAGACAATTCCATATACTGTTATTCTACAGCTAGTTATTTTTATCTTTATATATCAAAGTATATTATTTGGTGATCATATCATCTATCCTGTATTATTACAGAGATTAGGATATTACCACAGCATACGACTGCTGCACTTTATATTCAAGATAAAAGATTTTTAAATATACAGTACCCACATATATATTTGTTTTACATTCTCCATATTTTTATTCTCCATATTTTCTACATACATCTCTAAGCTTCTACACCTGATAATCTATCAATTAACTCGAATCCTCTATACCAGCTAGGTTCTGGACTCCACACACCTTACTCTGTGAAGTGTTATCTCTACTATTTCTTTGATAGGTTTTGGTGATTTCCTATTTTTGTTCAGTGTGAGCAGCCCATCATCAGTCCAACTCCCTCAACTCTGTGTATTGCACTAAGCATACCACTCCATTTCTGGCACATATATTTATTTAAGCCTGGGCCTGTAGTTGTTGGAGGGGCTTGGGTTCCCTTTTAAGGGCATCCAATCCTCTCCCACTTTAACGTGGTTGGTCTGGCGAGTTACCAGCTTACCTGTTTACTCCTGCTCCTGGCTTACTGTCCATTTTTCTTTTCGTCTGCCGACAGCTGAAACTCACCTTCAGCCCACTTCCTGCTACCGCTCCCTCGAGCACCGGCTCGGACGCACTCTCCAAAATCATGAATCGGGACCCAAACTGTCATGCAACGATTTGGGTCCATCCTCTATTGTTTTGTTCGCATGTCGCTTGCCTTTCGTGTGTTTCAGCCCGTTCGGGCTTCATTTGAACGTTTGTCATACTCACCTACTGTGCCTTACGGAGCTGTTTCGGTTCTCTTAGCCGCATGAACGGTTCCTTGTTCGGTACTCCTTTTGCATGCCTGTCCTGCTGTATTGCTATTTCATACGAAAGCCTACACTCTTACAAACAGGTGTTCGGTTTTCAGTACTTAGGACTCGCATGAACACTCGGTGGTTCTGGGTGTTCATGAGGATCTCTCCATTAGCCTTGCGCATTTTGGTTATCAATTGGATGAATGGCAAGTGATTTACGCAATATTTGTTTGTTGCATGTTGTTGCTGGTGATGCAATGATCCCCCTGCAGTGTTTGTTTGGTATTGCTGTTGGGTTTAATGCTTTTTCCTTCACTCTGTGGCATAGTGTTGTGTTCTGCCTTAGGGGTGGCTCACCGGTGGTTTACCGGTACATATGTTTTCTTGTTTAGTTTCTGCTGTAAAAGATTGCTACCTCTTCCTCGTTGTCATTGTGTTGCGGGTTTGTGTGTCTCGATTGCGTGTATTTTGATGTTTCTAGTGTCTCTCCGCTTGGTGTATTTGACTGTTCTGATGCCGCGTTATGTTTTCCTGTCTGGTGCACCCCTGCTTGCTCGTCTGGTGTTTGCCTATCTTGTTCACTTATTTAGCTTTTTTGGCATCGTGGTTCGCTCTACTACGCCTCTCATGTACTCACTGGTTTACTGGTGTTTCTGGGTCTCTGTCCCTTGACCGGTTGATTCTGAACATTTTGTCTTTTCTGGGTTGGTCACCTTTTTCCTATTTTTGCCATGTTCCTATACCCTCCTCTATTTCCCTCCTCTATGGTTTATACCCAGGTTTAGCTTATCTGGGCAACACATTTGTCCAACTGTTGTCCTGCTGAGGAGCTCATCCTTCCTGGCACCGTTTTCCTTTTTGTCTCGTGTTCACCAGTGGAATAGGTCACTTTCCGTTCCGCGATCTGGCCTGTTCTACATGGGTTCACGATCTAGCCACACAGAGGCATACATTCTCAGTCGCTATTCTAATTGGATCCACAATCTGGCCCATGCAGAGGCATACGTCCTCAGACTTCAGTCTGAGTGGGTCCACGACCCAGTCCACACAGAGGCACTCATTCTCGGACACCATTCAACATGGATTCACGATCTGGCCCACGCTGAGTTCCCCTATTAGCAGATAGTACTGATTGTTAGGGATTTAGGTA